CTCTCTCTCTCTCTCTCTCTCTCTCTCTCTCTCTCTCTCTCTCTCTCTCTCTCTCTCTCTGTCTCCCTCGCTGTGACGATTTCGAGTTCGAGCCTCAGCCGTCGATTCCATCGGCGTCTCTATCGCTGCGCTTAAAACCGCTTTTAAGAGCCCGTGGACACGCACACATGAAATTCCTACGGGACCGGAAACCAAGGGAGCGGCCAGCTATGTTCGCCGCATTGCTCCCGTTCCGTGACCGCCGTTCCGGCAGGAACGTGGTTAACGCCTTCGCTAACGTCCGCTGCCGTTACTACGAAATGTCAAACATCGCCCGTCGACATAACTCACTCGCAACTATCTTGATTACGAGCGCGCGCGCGCGCGGGACTGAGCTTTTCTGCAAATTCCGCGAGCGCGGACCTCCATCCTCCCCCTCCCCCTCCCCCTCCCCCCACGGTCGTTCGCGTCGCGCCGCGCCGCGTAGCTGCGTCGCGTCGATGCCGCCGGCACACCGAATTATCGGATTATTGGCACGCGCCCACCGAATTCGCAAGCGGTTTCCGGCAGCTCGACGCCGCGATATCCCTCGCGATCCGAGATCCGCCCTCCCCTCTCTCCCTCTTTTTTTTTTCTTTTTGGCACGTTGCGACCTCAGCACGCACCTGTTCCGATTTCCTCCCGTAATACTCGTTAATGACCGACCGCTCTCGCTAATTACCGCGCCGATTAAATAATTCCCGTTTCCGTCTGTTGCAGAGAAACGACAACTTCGACCTGTCCCTGAACGTTCCGCAGCATCATCAAACATCGTATCATCACGACGGCTACAACATGTCCGACCAGGTGAGTGAAACGCGAGCGACGGTCCATTGACAGCCGCCACGTGACGACGTCTTACTCCTCGTGTAATGTAAGCCAAGTAATCGCTCTCTCCTCGTTCCGCCCGTTTTTTCCTCCCTTCTTGCACTCGCTTGTTATGAATACCCATCGATTATCGATTACGTATCGAATACATCATTCACGGCGCGTGCGAATCGCAATCGGATCACCTTGATTTCGATGCACGGAAGTGTCACGCGAAATGGAAATCTCGAGGCGAACAAAGTCTTCGTTTTATATAAATCGCGAGTATCCGTTCCGTGCGAAAAAAATGAAGTAAGGAATGCAAGGAGAGACTTTTATAGCGGAGGGAAGTTAGAATTTTGTAGCTGAAAGATAGATCGATATTTTTCATTGAAAAAATTGTATTCTGCTTTCAAGAAAATTTCACTTACATAAAGAATATCCTCCTCTAAAATAGGCACCAAGAGGATTCTCTTATGTTAAGAGTAGAATCATGTAAAAGATTACCACATATTCTAAATATAAGATAAAGGATACTACATACTCTAAATATTCTAAACATTAGTAACTAGATATGCTAAATGTATGAGTTTATGTACTAGAAGTAACTACACTGAGAGAAAAAAATAGTTGGAATAACTATAATCTCACTATATTTTATAGTTCGTTTTGGCCTCAAACATATATTTATAGTTCATCTAAACACGAAGATATAGCAGAATGAACACACATTTATAGTCATCATCTTATTATTCTATATGTATAGTAAAACACGTTTTGGGAATATAGTTACATGTAATATTTTCCAAATATTCCAATTGTATTGACTATATAAAATAGTTCTATATAAAATATTTCTCTTACTATTTAATATTTGCTACCTTACTATGTTTTTTATTTCAAATAATTATAATTCTTGGTAAAAGTTTTACATGAGTCAGTTATACTATGCTTATATTATAAATATTACAAACATTATGGTGACATTTACTATAAAAAAGATATTCCTAACTGTAATCTTTTTACTATGCCATTATAGTTCCAAATATCATACATTTTTCTCTCAGTGTACACGGAGAAAACAATTCTGTTGGTATAATCGAATTTTTGATTGCATCAGACGAAAACTCAGGAACAGAAAAATTCCTTTATGAGGTTTTTGTGTAATCAATTGTTTTCAGCTGCCTCAACCGAGTTCTAATATCGTTGAATGTTCAGACGAATATTTTCGGTTGCGACAACAGAGACATTAATTTCCGTAACAGAGATATCGCTTCTAATCACCTAATTTTCAGTTGGTTCCCATTTGGTTGCACCAACTGAAATTTTTTTTGTGTATGACGTACTGCATTGCGAGCAAATTTTGATATACATTTGCGACAATTGAAAAAGTTTCAATCAGTAGCATTGGAAATCATAATTATATTTATTTGAAAAAAATCAACGTCACACTTTTAATATCTGTCTCTCAGAAACTGAATTTTAAAAAAGTTTGCTGTTTTTCCAGCTAAATGTGCTATGCAAGACAGCAAGACAGAGCTTATTGACAGTCTATTTGCGTGCACGCGTACACCGCTGAAGCGTAGTAAAATCGAGAAGAATTCATATGAAACAGAAAAGAACCGGCAAAAACCATAATATTCGCTCGGTGAAAACAGACAGGTAAAAGAGACGAGACGTTGCTCCGCCGACCAATTACGAAATGCCGGATTTAATAGCCTTCAATTTCATTGAAATGCAAATCGCCCGGCTTCGCGTTTCCGTCGAGAGCGTTCAGAGCAGCTTCGCATCCGCGACCTCGTCCGATCGTCCGCACGACGACAACGACGAAGACATTGTCGACGCTGCGGAGAACTCTCGGCAAGAATTCCGCCATTCTCATTACTCGCGTGTACGTCGTGTGCGAGTACGATCTCTCGTTTTTCCCCGTCGTTTAATCCGGTAAACAAACGAGGAAGCGGACACGACGCGTCGTCGTGCGACTCGATGGAGGGAGGGAGGGGGGGGGGCGACGAGGGGAGAAAGTGGTGTAGGCTGGGGCCGGCTAGTCCGATACGACGCGATCGAAATAATCCGCTGCTCCAGCGCATTTTTTCACGAGTCCGGAATAGGTTAATCCCATGTATCGACAGTTGCGTCGAAATGGAAGGAAAATCTGAAAAATGAGAGCGAGGTGAGACCCGCGCTTCATCCCCCTCCCTGCCTCCCTCACCCTTACGCACGCGGTGGCGATTATTGCTGCTACTGCCTGTGTTGCTCCGGCGTTGGAGTGTCCGATCGAATGCGGGACGCGCGTTCGCTCGGCCCAATCTAAGCGTCCGGTAATTGGCAATCTGCGATAAATAACCGCCGGTTATAATTTCATTGTTTAATAAACGCGCGCGCGCGCGCGAGCGCGGCCGAGCACGCTGCGTGTTTCGATTCCGTGCGGCATTAGCGATCGTAAATCGGTCGATAACGAACGAACCAATTTCCGCGAGTCGATCGATAGCAGATTTCGAAAACCGATTGGACAAGTTTGCCACTTGTCACGCCGGCCGCGCGCGCCATTATTTCGGCCGATTTGACACGACTAATTAGAGTCTCGATCGGACAGATCCTCGCGAGCGACCGGAAGCCTTCCCCCTGCGTCGTAACTTTTACCTTGGCAAAGATCGCAAGAGAGAGGGAGAAGGCCAATGAGAGAGCTAGTAGTCGCAGTTGTTCGTGCGAATATTTAAACTGAGATTAAATATGAGAACTGTGGGAAAAAAAGAAAAAAATGTCACTCGAGGCGATGGAGGAGATTTATCGGAAGGTGAAACATTAAACCCCGCGAAGTGATTCAATAAATAATTACAATCTGAAACGGTAACGGCGAAAATAATAGTATGTGTCTTCCAAGGCTAAGCTCGAGCTGTGCCAGTTAGCCTTGGAGGCACGCTGGATGACATCATTTTTGCGACTTTATAAATGTACTAATCAATTTTTAATCGGTCACAATTAGATCGTGACGTTCCGCGGAATTTTCATTAATCTCACAATCTCTGAGCCGCTCCTTCTCTTTCATTTTTTTTTTGACCTCTCAATATTTGAAAACACATTCGCTAACCAGCGTGTATGATGCAACGATCTCTCAAGATATATTAACGTAATGTATGTGTGACATGACGCAATTTTTTCTCCCGTATTCGCATATTATCAGACTAAATCTGTTTTACACATGTGAAGAAAAAAGAAAGAAAATTATGAGGTAGTCCATTTGGAGGGAAAGAATGCCCAGAATAACACCCGAAACAATATAATCTTATCCGTAGCGAAATCCTCTTGCGTTATGGCCTCAAGAGGATTCTCCTAATACCAGAAGAAAAATATTCTAGCACCTAAAAAAAGAACCTACAGTTTCAAGACGCTATTTCCTATAATCCCACATTCTAAGAGAAACTTTTGATAGAAAGAGTATTTTTCTTCCGATGAAGAGGAATAAGGCTGTGCTTACATTGAGAGAAAAATGTCTAAGAAATAAAAGATATTTATTCACGACGAGTACTAAAAACATATCTTTTTATATTAATATGTGTGTGTGTAAAATATTTTTCAGATAAACAAATATACATTTTTTCGAAATCTTAACTTTTTATCAAAACTATTGTTTATTCTGTTTAAATAAAAGAATATAGATTTAAGTAAATCTATTTTTGTATCACACATCAAATAAATATTTTTAGTTTTTAAATATTCTTTCTCTCTCAGTGAAGAGTATTTTCTTTCTAGTTTCAGAACAAACCTATTGAAACCATATGTAAGAGAATTCCATAAAAGGCTGCGACTTCTGGGTGTTATTTCGGGCTCTTTCCCCACAGATCGTAATTTTTTTTTTATTACATGGGGAAAGAAGTTTCATTATATCGACACGAGGTTGGGTTGTAATCAACGAAGCAATGTGTTTTGTTTGAAAAAAAAAACGGAATTTCTTATTCGTGGAACCAAATTTAGATTATAAGAATCACATATAGAAATTTTGTGTCCTTCAAAACGCATTGATTCATTCATCGAAACCAAACATGACGTTAATACGACAACCAAATTTTTTTCTCCTTGTGCACTGGGCTTCAAAATGATCTGAACACTTTTTTTCCCTCAATACAGTTTGGAATGCAATCGATATTCCAATGAGGAAACTTGTTTTTTATTTATTTCTAGTTAACCTCTCTCATTGGACTATTCGTAAAAAAAAAATGTTTTGCTGATTCAGGTAGAATATTAAATGACACTGTTGAGATTTATCGCTGTTTTTTGTATCTGCTAGAAAATTGTCTGTGATGTATGTAGAATTTATAGCAGCAGCATTCTCGCAATATCTGCAAACGAATTTAAGCGTGACTGTGAGAGATTATACATTCGTTTATTTCTCATCGTTAGCCATTTTTTTTTTATCTACCACAGTCAATTTTTATAAGCAGTTTTATTGATTTCAATCCGAGTGAATGCCGCAGAGAGACTTTCTTGTTTTCGCAAATATTTCGCAACGTTCAGCTAGAAATTCTGTTATCTGTATTGATTAAATGCAAAACGTATGCGGCGTCGCGCGGTGTTTGCTAGTCATTTATCCATCTTAGCTAATTTCTCGTATCTAGGTCATTTTTGCTGTGACTGCAAGATTGCAAATGTTTTTCTCGACTATAATTTATAGTAATTATTTCTCGCGTGCGATTATGGTCACGAATATCGAACATTTTTTTCTTAACGTTGTGCGCGGCAGTGCGCGAGTGTGTCGAAGAGACCCGCGCGGCTCGCCTCTATGCACACACCTGCGTTATAAATGTTCCATTTCGTAGAATCGCGCCGCGATTAATTATGCATCGTCAGGAGGGTATTACGCGACCGTGCGTACGGCGGGGGCGGAGAGGAGGGCAGAGGGGCGGAGAGGGGACGCGGCTGTATCTCGCCGTTGTTACAGACGGATCGATGAGGCAGATTAACCCGACGAAAGTTCCGGCAATTCGCTCGTGTTCCCCACGTCTCGCCGTGTCGTTACGGAAGCTGTACACGGAACGGTATTATTGCGAGTCGAGCTTCTTTACGGCGTCCTTACACTTAGAGGACCTTCCTCCTTCTCCTCCCTCCCTCCATTCTTCCTCCATCTCTCTCTCTCTCTGTCTCTCGCAAAAAGTTGATCCAATTTCCGTTTTCGCGTTCTCCCTCGTTCCGCCGCGCGTCCCCGGCGATCATCGTCGGGCCGTTGGACGTCTTCCCCGAGTGGTCCCTTCACGAGGGACGACTCGTCCGATCCTCACGCAACGTCCTGACGAACCCGTCGGTGATCAACCTATATGAAATATCGGCGTAATAACGCAACATGTTTTTTCACTATGCTCCAAGATCTTTTATTCACACGCTGCACCATCATCCCTCTGGACCACGTCGAGATTTGATCTAACTTTAGATCTAACTTTTGCCCGCCACGCGTCTATCCTTTCCTCTATTCTTAGCCGCTAATGTCGCGCTACGTTCGTCCCCTTGCTCGCACTTTCTCCGCGTCGCCTTCATTAATTATGCACAGCAACTCTCCCGGGTCGGTATCGAGACACACAGGTTTTCTTCCTCCTTCGCGGCTTGTCTCTTTGTCCGTCTCTTCTGAATCGCTTTCTAAAACGCTCGCTCTGCCACAATGTTGCAACCAGTACCGTCAATTTCGGCTATTCCCGGCCTTACGGGTTCACTCAAATATCCTGATGTCCCATTCGGGTAAGGCAGACAGGCTCTAGATGATCCCAAGGATATGTTGCTGATGTGCCTTCTGTTGGTTCTTATCTTGAGGGGCACGAAATGGTTCTTTTAAGACACTTTTCCCTGAGTTTCATTAAAGTCGGAATAATATTACAGTCAAACAATAGAAAAGAACTAATTTAGTAGCGAAGTAAGTTTTCGTGCCCCTTAAGAAATTTTGCATTAACATTCTTCATCGTGAATGAATAAAGTTAAGCGACGTGTTATTAACTTAAATGAAGTTTCTGGCAAGTATATCGAGTAATAAAAGCAATCTTCATTCATAAAATGATTGAAATCAAGCACATGGGCGGACGAGCTAAAGTTGGCTCATAATTAAGGGCCGGCTGGAGACCTTTCGCGGAGATCCCGAAACTGCTAATCAGGATACGTACTTTATATGTGGTCTTCTTACTCTTTATACGCAAGTGAATCCGGTATCGGGACAAAATGTGCACGTTATTGTATGTTTATATTTTCATTATTATAAAATAAAATATAGGGTTAATAGGCGAGAATCGACATAAAAGAAGGCTCGTTTGTACAGTCAGTCATAAGAGTTAGTTGTCTGAGAAATTGTAACTGTGAAACTCTGTGAAATGTGAGACATCTAACCCCGATCTCCCTTATGAGTCGAATATATTAACTCGAAGATTTCACGCGGAAGAGAAGGCTACTTTTTGTTTTACGTCCATACACGTCTTCTGCACGACTTGCGGCTGAAGTGAAATTTAACGAATACATGAAATAATTGACATTCCCGAGTTATAGATTTTTTGACAATAAATAATCAACGAATGCATTGTATACTCGTAAGTGTTCGTAAGTACTCGCAAGTGCCGTTGAATATTTATACATTAAGTCAAACTGAACTGAAAAAGTCCTCTACCATTTTGTGAAGAACCACATAAATTTTTAAATGATAATAATTAAAAAAAATTGGTGCATTATGGTATCATATATGTAACAATCATATATGTAACAATTTTCTTTAATATTTAAAAATCTGTGTGGTCATTTGCAAAATGGTAGAGAACTTTTTTGTTCAGTTTGGCTTAAGTATACAACGGCGGACGGCGACCATTGCAGCTCATCTACCATATCGCGCGTGATCATTCACCAATTTTTTTAATTAATATCTCAACTATTATTGCGAATATCGCAAAATCGGCACAGGACTTTCTTGCCCACCTCAATTCGTTCCACATTCTCACAAAGGGTCACCGTGGAGGTTTGAGACACCCTGTATATGCCCGAGTGAGTAGTACTTGGATATAGGAAATATCCGAGTTATATTGTCAGCATTATAGTTGCAACGACTGCGGACGACTGCGCTGGCAACCGTCAATTTTCCAAGTGACACCTTCTCGAAGCGAACGTTCTTAATTTCGTATCCCGATGCCCGACGTTGCTCCGTCACCAACTCGTTCTTCACTTGAAAATTGCGTATCGGCCGCGCGAAAGAAAAAGTTTACCGCGCGACGACGACGGCGGCGGCGTTCGTATTGAAATAATATGTAATTTGTATACGTGAGAGAGCGGAAAATCGAAGTTGGGCGAACGAGGGAGAGGAGAGGAGAGGGTCGTAACGGGGACGGGAGCGACGAACGGGTGGTTGGTTGCGTAACCAGGAAACCATCTAAATAATATTTCTTCAGGAAGAAGAACCAAGTTGCGAGAGTCGCGCGCAAGTTTTAACGAGATGGCGGAACGAGTTTAGTTCACAGTGAGGAAAAGAAAAACGACAACTACGACTGGGGAGGAGGAGAAGGAGGAAGGGGGAGGGGAAGGAAAACGACGACGACTGGAGGAAGAACGATATTTCTTCGTCGTTCGCTCGCCTTTCTCCTGCTTCACCCACACCGCCTCTATCTTTCCATCTCCTCATCCCCCCCGCGCCCCTTTTCTGTCTCTCCATTTACCTGCGATTCGACGCGATTCGCGAATTTAATATCGGCCCGCGACGGGCTGAAGGAAGAGCGCCCCGTTGTGAAAAATGACGTACCGCGCGACGCTGTCGTTGGTTTAAGTGAGTTCAAGTATGCGGACGAGCGCTTGAATTTCGCCGAAAAGTGGAGAAAAAGCGCGGAAGTAGCGATCCTTCGGGAAAGGCTTCCGGGCGCAGCGTTGCTGCACTCCGTTGCGCTCGCCGCCGCCGTCGCGACGGTGGCGGCGGCGGCGGCGGCGGCGGCGGCGGCGGGTGGTGCTCCGCGATGCGCACGCACGAAATTAGATCGTAATGTCCACCACCGAGTATCGAGTAACGATGTCACGAGCGCGTAAACGTAAAATGGATTTTGCGATAAACGATCCGCGGAATTGGGCGTAATAAAACGATTAATGGCACGTATAAATCTGGTTTACGCGCAACGCCACCTGACCCCACACGTGTCTCTCTTTCTCTCTCTCTCTTTCTCTCTTTGCGTGTATCGTGTCGCGCGATCACGCGCGGCACGCAGTTACTCGGATTCCGATTTCGAACTAGCTTTCTGTCGCTAGTCGTTTTGAGTGCGATGCTTTAATAACGGGAAAATAAAATAGAGTGAGGAGAGAGAGGGCGGGGGAGGAAGGGAGAGAGGGAGGAGAAGCGGAGAGATAGAGAAGAGGTGGAGCACAACACTGGCGATCGATAGGCAGCCGTGTTTCTTCAAAGGGAAATTCCTGACGCTATTAAATCCAATTTCGAAACTTTTATTCCCCCTACCGCCGTAGCGCCGCGGCAAATTTATTTTCCTTCCCTTTTGTGAAGGGGAATAAATTGCTAAAAGGATTCCGAACAATATAACGCTATCTATCATCCCGCCGAGGGACGGTGGAAGGTTGATTCTTTGATTCTACCTTCACGTCCTACCTCTCCTCCCGCCCTCATCCTCGCGAGGCCCTTTGCTCCTCCGGTCGTTTCTTCGCGCTGCTCTCGGAGCCGATCCTGCACGCGGAGAGACGCCGTATAAGGAGGAAAAGCTTCTTCTCGCTCGCTAACGATAACTCGCTAACGAGGAAAAGTCGTCGCGACAATGCGATATTCCGACGTGAGCGCGGGGGAGAGGGATGTATACGTTTTTGCTTCTCTTCATTATTCCTCCTTCGACGCGACAAAGCCGCGGATCCCCGTCTCCGGACGTGTGTCTATGTGTGACTTCTCTTTCTGCTTCCAGACGTTTCACACGCCGAGCTTCGGCGACGAGGACTTCGACATCCCGGCGATCCACCCCCATTCGCATCAGCAACAGCCGCAGCAACAGCAGCATCATCAGCAGCACGATCCCATGCACGCGTATCAGCCGCAGGTAAGGATCCGCCGCCGCCACCGCCGCCGCCGCGGTGCGGTTCGACGACCGCGGAATCGATGTGAATTTTTAGAAGCTTTTTGCAGACTCGCGCGTGCGACACGTATACTCCGCACACGATAACCCACACACGGTGTGGGTCGATATCGACTTTTCTCCCTCCCCCCTCCCGCGGAAAATTTCGTATTCGCGTCTCTCTCTGGCGAGAATTTCACCGGACGCGTTTGTTTCCTTCCTCTTTTTTTTTCTTCTCTCTTTCCTGCCTCTTTCCTTCTTTCTTCCTCTTTTTCTTTTTTGTTTTTTATTTCTGTTCGCCAATTCAATTCGCGAGATCGTTGACGGAGGATCGACAGGCGCCAAGATCGCGTATATTTCGCTGTATATTTCGAATACCCGCTGAATTCTTCGAAGCCACTCAAACGTCACTTCAGCTTTTCCAGCAACATTCCGATCCCCTTTCATCCTCTCGCTTCATTTGAATTTCGACGAAACGTCAGAACGGCCATAGACGGCGTATATAACAACGCGTAATAATGTATACGCGTGTACACACGCGACCGTGGAAGAAAACGACGTCGGAATGATGTATCGACCATTTAACGACTTCCGCATTCGGGCATTATTCATGTAACGTCGAGACATTATTTTTAGACGCGTTCTCATCGTGTATCTCTCTCTGTCTCTCTCTCTTTCGCTCTCTTTCCCACTCACTCCCGTTTCCATTCTCCTTCGTTCCCCTCTCCTTCACCTTCTCTCTCTCTCTCTCTCTCTCTCTCTCTCTCTCTCTCTCTCTCTTTCTCTCTCCCTATCGTCTTGCAGTCTCACGCGCCCCCTT